AAATTTCCCACAGACATGTCAGGTCTCTTAGATTTCTAAAAAAAGTTTCCTTTTTTCAAGCATTAAATGATATATATATATATTTTTTAGCATTAATACGATATAATCTGAGATAAAGATCTAAGAACTTGTCTTTTACTACCTACTTACATGAAAGGTTTTTCACTTTTCTTAATCATACTAAAAATAACCAAAAGTAACTTCTACACAGAAAAGGAATTTGGAAGACATGAGTGAGACCCTTAACACAGAGATAAGTAATAACATAACAGAGAAAAAGGGCTCAATAAAGGAAATTAGAAACATGCTTGATAGAATGAACAGTAGGCTGGAAGAAGCAGAGGAACGAATTAGTAATCTAGAAGAAAGTAATGGGAAGCAATCAAGCTGAACAAAAGAAAGAAAAAAGAATTATGCCAAATGAGGATAGAGACTTCAGGAACTCAGTGACTCCATCAAACGTACTACATTTGTTATTTTAGTATTAAGTATCACAACTAATGTTTAATCAACACAGTGCTCTGGTTCACCAATATCCAAGTGTGACAGAAGGAGAATCTGACTACTAAATAGTCAGCAGACTCTCCCCCTTTCCTAACTTTAGAGTATGTATTGTTGCATCTTAATAAAGTTATGACTTAAGAAAATCAGACCCCTTACATTCTGTTCTTTTAATGTTATCACCAAGTTCCTTAACCTAGAAACCACTATCTTCCAACTCTGTTCCAATTGCCACTATGGTAGTTCAGGCTTTCATCTCTCACTGAGGCTGAGGTAAAATCTTCTTAAATTGGTCTTCCTTACTCTAGTCTCTCTTCCCCTCCAATGTATTAATTTATTTATGCTACTTCAGTTATTGTCCAAAAACACAAACTTGATCTGGTAACTGTCCCCTAACTCAAAAACCTTGCATGTACCTTCTCCCCCTTTCTCAATAGATCTATGATCCTTAAGTTACTACCTGGAAAGATAGATGCTAAACATTGTGTATTGAACATATGAATGATGTTGAGATAAAGGTTGCAAACCATTGCTATAAAGTTTATCATGGCATTCAAAGCCCAGTTATAATCCTAATCCAACAGGCTTTTAGCATGAGCTCTTGGCAAAAAGAAAACTTATTCTCATGGATTCGGATTCAAATAGATTTAAATGACTGTAACATGAAATGTCTCTATTTTTAAATACTACTGCAAAAGCACGCACACTTTAAGTTATTTAAAATGGATCACCTTAAGAGTTAAAAATTAGAAGTTATTAATATATTTACTTATGAAGATAAATTTTTTTCTCAAACTTTCTATCATCTTCAAGACTTATTGAATTCACATACCTATGTACATCTATTTTAATTTATACCAATGCAACATCTGTTTAAAAGTTCTTAGCATATGTTCATAAAACAAACCTTTAAGTCTATGGAATAAATGGTAATTTATTTTTTTACAAAGAAATAATCTGGAACCAGGGGCGCCTGGGTGGCTCAGTCGGTTAAGTGTCCAACTTAATCTCGGCTCAGGTCATGATCTCAGTTTGTGAGTTTGAGCCCTGTATCAGGCTCTGTGCTGACAGTGTGGGTCCTAGCTGGGATTCTGTCTCTCCTTCTCTCTGCCCCTACCTGACTTATGTTCTCTCTCTCTCAAAATAAATAAACTTTAAAAAAAATTTTTAAAAGAAATAATCTGGAAACAACTGAAAATAAGATTCAACTTAGAAGTTCTAAAACCAGTATGAACAAGCTCTGATTAATCAAACCCTGATTATCAGGGCACCAGGCTTACTATTCCAGTCTCTAGGTCATCTGAATTTTTACTTACTTACCCTTACAATAATGGCTTACACTGTGGTGTCTTACACCCTTACAAGAGAAAAAAAAACAGGGTAAAACCAGTTAAGTTTTATCTCCCACTGTAGCTAATGGGAGCAGTGGGGGGGGGGGGGCCAGATTATTTATAAAATACTACACAATTAATTTGAGCGTTTCCTGTTCTGTATTACCATATATCAAAGTTGACTATGTATATTTGGTACATAAAATGAAAACAGATGAGTATACTAGGGAAATAATACACACTAACAGAAATATAGTAGATTGGCAATAAATTATCGCCCTCATCCACTCTTCCCTCCCAGCCTCCTATCAAATAAACAATGTTATTTTTAAATGCTAATAAATTCTTCTGGGTGTCATAAATTTCAGAACTCTTTAAATAAACTACCTGTCTGGTTGAGGAAGATCTTAAAAGAGCATATTATCTGCAGATAAAATCTAAAAATGTCTCTGAGAAACTGTATCAAGTATGACCAACAGAAAGTATCTTTGAAAAAAAAAAGGTAGAATTAAGACACCCCACTAAAAATTTCACCTAATATTAAACATAATTTTATAAGCATAATACCGATAGATGTACTTTTCCCAACGTATAGAACATTTACCCAAGTAAATCAACTTGGCTACAGAATAGGTCTGCTGTTAGTACGTTTTCCTACCTCTCTAACTAGAAATCATTTGTTGGAGCCTACCCAGAACCAAGCTCCATTTTCCCTTTTCCAAAACACATTAGTGCATCTGAAATGTAGGTGAAAGTGGGGGAATGGTGATCCACTAAGAGGATTAGGAAAGACTAAGTTAAAGATTTTCTATGTCATTACTTCTAACTTTCTCTAAGCAATGATAATCCACTGAAAGGTTTCAAAAACAGAAATCACGGAACTACACTTCTGAATTATAAAGATCTTGGTGACAGTGCTGACGATGGTGAAAGGTAAGAATGGAGGCAAAGCCATCAGTTTAGTTAGGAGATAATTATGAGTTCTTAAAGGGAGAGATGACTTTGGAAGGCAATTTGTCAGTCACCTGAAATACATACATCCATCAATTTCATTTGTAGACATGAACCCAGAGAAATAATCCTACATAATAATGCACAAAGATATTGCTCTAGAATGTTCACTGTGCTGTTACCTGTATTAAGAAAAAAAAGTAAAAACTTCCATGACCATCAATAGGGTAATGAATACATACAGATGGAATATCATACTATAGTTAACAGGAATGAATCAGATCTACATATACCGCCCTGGCTAGATTTCAAAAACTAAATGAAAAAAATTAAGCTACAGAAAAATGTATATATACTTGAGTACATTATTTATCTAAATCAAAACACATAAAACATTATTGGTTTTTTTTTTTTTTTGTTTACTTACAATTGCTACATTCCTGGAGTGCTTCTCTGTGCCAAGTGCTACTCTAAGCAGTTTGGACTTATTCCTCCCTACATCCTTATACTACAGGCAATATAATCCCCTTCTACAGATGGGGAAGCGGAGGCATGGAATTTAAGGACCTTCTCAAAGACCTCCAAATAGGAAGTAACAGAGCCAGGATTCAAACCCAGGCAGCCTGGTCCAAAATGTAAAAAGCAAAGATTCTGTAAAGATTCATGCCAAATTCCAACGACTGTTTATTCTGGAGGAGATAGGTATCAGGGTAGGGGAGTGGAGCCAGAGGGGGGCTGTAGCTAGAGCTGAAATGTTATTTTTAAACAAGGTATTCAACTAATTTTTAAACAAGGTGTCCATTTTTCCCCAAACACATTTTTAACACACTAAAAAAAAAAAAAAAAAAAAGGCTGGATATCGTGGTTGACTATAGATGGTGGAAATATGGGGGCATTTCTTTGTAGTTTTCAGGATCTTTCAGTTTTTTAAAAAAGGCAGCGTTAGGGGCGCCTGGGTGGCACAGTCGGTTAAGCGTCCGACTTCAGCCAGGTCACGATCTCGCGGTCCGTGAGTTCGAGCCCCGTGTCGGGCTCTGGGCTGACGGCTCAGAGCCTGGAGCCTGTTTCCGATTCTGTGTCTCCCTCTCTCTCTGCCCCTCCCCCGTTCATGCTCTGTCTCTCTCTGTCCCAAAAATAAATAAACGTTGAAAAAAAAAAAAGGCAGCGTTATCGAACACAAAACGATTTCTTTTCCATTTTTTTGGCCGACAACCATAAAATTGTTCCAGGGCCCTATAAACCTAAATCTTTCTCAAGTTTGGCCCTTAAGGTCATTTTGCCCTGGGTAACTGCCGTAAGGGCTGCCCTATGCATTGCAGGCTATTTAGCAATACCCACTAGATGGCCAGTAGCTGGTCCCTGCCCCATTATTACAACCAAAACTGTCTCCAGACACTGCCAAATGTCTCCTAGGAGATAAAACTGCCCCCGGTTGAGAACTAGCTTAATAAACTGTAAGGTGCTTTACATCTTTTAACTTTCTATAACTGCTCTAGTTTAAAGGTTTCAAAAACATAATCCGTGATAAATTTCTCACACTCCAAGTGGGAAAGATGCGGCGGGGTGAAGAAAGCTTGAAGCGAAAAAATCCAATACGGCAAGCACTTAAAATCTAGTCATCATTCCACAGAATGACGGCCATAGGCCCCGGCAAGCTCGTTTCCATCCCCTTACTCCGCAAAGAGGGCACAAGGGGGGGCCAACCCAGCTCTGCCGCCCGGCCCCGCGAAGGCCAGGGGAAGGTGTGGGACGACGCGCCTGCCATACCTGAGCCCGCGCGTCCTGAGTCCGACAGGCGCCACGTTCCCGACGCCCCAGGCGGGCGCAGCGTCCCTCGGCTCCAAACCTCCCGCCCGCGCGCTGCATCCTGGGAGGTCGGGGCCGGAGGCTGCGTCGAGAGCAGAGGAGGCGGGGCGCGCGGAGCCTGCGGAGCCTGCCCGGAGACGGTTGCCAAGGGAGGCTGAGGGGGCGGGGCCTCCAGGGAAGGTTGTGAAAGAGAGGGGCAGGCGGAGCTTGCTCGGGCGGAGCTCGGCGCTGTAAGCTCCCGTGATCCGGCGGTAGGCGGAGGCGGGTCCGCAGTGCAGGGGCTGTCTGAGGGAGCGGAGCCCGCACCAGAAGCTAATGGAAAGCCAGGCTAAGCTCCTGGTCCCGCCTCCAGACCCAAGCGGCCGCATCAGATTGGGCAGCGCGGCGACGCTTCCGCCCGCCTCCCGGTGTCACGCGACGGTCTCCACCTCCCGCCCTTCCCTCTCTACCTCCCGGCCCTCCCGGCCAGTGATGAGATATTCGGACAGGTGGGGAAGTGGCCACGGCAATCGAAATCACGTCCACGAGCGCGACCATGGCCGAGGTGAGGAGCCGACCGCACTGCTGCCGTCCCCCCCCCCTCCCCTAGATCCGGAAGCTTCCTCTGAAGTCCGGGGGCCGTGCCCCCAAGTGCAGGTGGGCTGGGCTGAAGGGAAGCGGGATGGTGTGCGTGGTGTCTAAGCGTCCCTTCGTGTCTCCCTTTCAGTGTCACACCCAGAATAAAGCCAAGCTCGTCTCTGAGACCCGACGGAGATTCGAAGCTGATTATGTGACAGGTGGGTACCGCGTTCTCGGTGTTGAGGCAGGTAGGCAATGAGCGTCCCCAACTTTCCGAAGGTGTTGGCGGGCGTCTCTGTGGGAGGCTTTAGGGACCCTTTCGACCCTCACAGGGATGAGGCCCTGCACGTTTCCAAGGTTTTCTTCTAACATCCCATGCACGGTGGCTCCAATGGGGCAGGTGATACGCCCATTGCTTCCTGAAGGGTTAATGTAAGTTAGAAATTGGTGAGTTTCTAGCATCTCAAGTTTATGGAACTTGGAGAACACTTGCAAGGCCCACGGCACGGGTGACACCGTACAGTGCACAGTTTCTGTGCTGACCTTTCACCAGCAACAATAGAGAAAAAAACGTGGAAACTGCCGTAATGCTATTCACGTGTACTTAATTGGGGATACAAATTCCTTGGATACTTGGCCTAATTCCACTTCATACTACCCAGTATGCTACCCACGGAGCAGCCCTCCAGTACTGGAACAAGTTCTCTGTCATACCGCACTGTACCTAGCAAAGTACCTGTGAGTCCAGAATTGATTCATTGGTTGAATACTATGTGTTCATGTGGTTGAACAGATGTCCCAGATACTTGAAACTGATGGCTTAATCCTTGTACAGTCATTTTTAAAAACTTACAGGGGCGCCTGGGTGGCTCAGTCGGTTAAGCGGCCGACTTCGGCTCAGGTCATGATCTCGAGGTCCGTGAGTTCGAGCCCCGCGTCGGGCTCTGTGCTTACAGCTCAGATCCTGGAGCCTGTTTCAGATTCTGTGTCTCCCTCTCTCTGACCCTCCCCCGTTCATGCTCTGTCTCTCTCTGTCTCAAAAATAAATAAACGTTAAAAAAAAATTTAAAAAAAAAACCTTACAGGATAATGTGTTATAAACGTGGAATAAATATTTGAATCCTGACTCTGCCACTTAATAGCTTAGTTGTCTTTTCTAAGCCCCGGTTTCCATATCTGTGAAACGTGAATAATTACGTTAGGAGGATTAACTGAAAAAGCATATATCAAACTGTCTACCATGGGGTTAACCTATTGCAAGCTCTCAACAACTGTTTTGTCTGCATAATCACTTTGACTGCTGTGGAAGGGGTTAAGCTTCTGCATCTTGAGGGCTCAGCAGAGGTTCTCTGCAACTTTAGACTGCCCTAGATTAAATGTCAGTTGATGACCTAGAATAAATAAGGAAATGTGTTCCAAATAACCTGGTCAGTAAATCTTTTTTCATCCTCCCTGTCAATTTTCTTCACATCCCAAACTTTGCACTAGAGAGTTGCAAAAGCACTCGATTCACTTTTAGCCCAGAGATCTCATGTCTAATAATATAGCTGGTTCCAGTAAAGAGATAATTCTAAAATTGCTTTCTGTAGAGATGTAATTCTTACAGTCACATGGTTTATAGTATTTTAAGAAGTAATCCAGAACTTGACCTAATGTGCTCGTGGCTCCCCAATAGCCATGTACTCACCCAAAGGAGGAAGCAGAATATGTGTGTGTGTGTGTGTGTGTGTGTGTGTGTGTGTGTAGTCAGAAAAATGTAGCAATAGACAAGATCTCAAAAGTCATCTTGGTCCAACCTTCTCATTTTTAAAATGAAGAAAGATCTAGAGAGATTAAGTGATTTGCTCCAAATCCTTGGTGTTAGTGGCTAGGCCTGGGCTTGTGCTCAAGTTTTCTCAATTTCACTACAGTGAAAATCTTTGGCAACACCAGCATGTCAAATTGGATTGTGTCACTCCCCAACTTGAAACCCTTCAGTACCTTCCCACTGTGTCTAGAATGAAAATCTCGGTTCTTTATGGTGGCCTGCACAGCAAGGCCCTGCATGCTGTAGCTGCTGCCCCCCCCAATCCTAATCCGTAACTACTCTCTTCGCTTAGTACAGATTTCACCACTGCCCACAGTCAGAAACATATCACATCTTGCAATCTACTACGCATGAACACATAACCGAAGCAAAAGTTCATTCAAGAATACTTATTCTGAAAACCTAGGACTCCCTGGTGCAGTGACCCACAAAATTGACATCACAACCTATGCGACCCACAGTTTGAAAAACACGACCAGCCACACTGCGTCTCTTATGTTCTTCAAACAGACTGAATCTGTGTTTATCTCGGGAGCTCTCCACTTCTCTTTGTTTGGAAGGCTCTTGCCCAGATAGTGTGTATGGCTGGGACCATTTTTTTTTCTTTCCCATCTTGGTTTAAATATCTCTGAGAGACCTTTCCTGATTATTAAATAGCCTCCCTGTCTTGTTTGTCTCCTTCACAGCTCTTACCATAACCTGTAATTATCATGTTCGTTTGTTTACTCGCTTACTGTTCATTTCGTCCGATGGAATGTGTTTGGGTCTAGGGCAACCTGTGGACGTGGAGGGCAGGGTCTGACTCACCTCAGTATACCTAACACAGTTTTCAATATATACTCAATATAGCAATGCTTAAATGTATACATGGGGAGATTAATCCAAGTCTGCATTATGAGTAGTCCGAACTGGCTCCCCACCCCCGCCAAAATCTGACAAAGAACAGCCCTCACAATACATTTCATAAAGACAAGCATTATTTCAAAGTAAAACACTTTATAGGCAGGGTTTTGTCCTTAAATATACACGCTTGGGTATGTGTGAATACACGTGACGTGTGAGTGGGGCATCTTGCACAGCTGTTGTAAATACTAATTCAATTTTAAAGACTTGCACGGGAAAGGAAAAATAAAAATCTTTAAAGATTTTCTAAAGTTTGAGTTTCCTGAGATACTGCATCAGGTAAAGGAAAAGTAGGAAAGTGGTAAAAAGGGGTTTTTGATCTGCTTGTGTTTGCCCTTTCAGGTTTACTTTTTAGAAATTAACTCAAGTGCTTAGAGAACAGGCACTTTTCTTCTATCTCTGTCTTTCATTTCACCCTATTATCATTAGCAATGTTTTCAGAAGAGACTTAAGGCTGACTTAAGCAAACAAATGTGATATTTTTCCTAAAGGAAAGTATTATCTGCAAATATGTCACTTTAAGCACTGGCTGTACTCCAGAAACTCTTTTGGAGGTAGGTTCTTGGGAATTCCAAGCACATTTTTGTTTCCATGGAAATTAAGTTACCAATTATGGATAGATTTGTGGCTGGCAAAAAGAATAAAAGTCCATAATCGTTTCATGCATTACAAATGGTCCTTTTTTCTGTCATTGTTTCTGTGAGAAATTCCACACAAAGTCTCAAATAAGAAACGTTTCCCATTCTGTCTTCCTCCTTCTTGTGGCAAAGGCAAGAGACTACTCCCTTGTGACAGTAATTTATTTGGTTCCTCAAATACTCATTATGTGCTTATTTCTGGGAAGCAGTGTGTCAATATTAGAAAAAGAACTGAAGACAGATAGAGCCCCTTCCTGAACTTACAATCCAGTAGAGGCGTTAAAACAGGCTAACTGTTAGAGTTCAGGCAAATTGTGTCAAGAGGAATAAGGGTGCTAAAATTTCTGTAGAAGTCAAAGACAAGGAAAAGATCACATCTGATCGGGGTGATTGGGTTAGCACAAAGTGAGAAAAAACTTCATAGAAAACGTGGTGTTTCTCATGAACTTTGGAAGATGGTAGAACTTGGCCCGGTGGAGAAAGTGATCCAGATGGATCAAATAGTCTGAGCTGTAGTGAGAAGGCGCAGGGCATGTTGGGGAAGCCATGGGAAGTCCGCTTTGATGAGCTTTAATGGGGGGGGGGGGGTGAGCACATCCGCTAAAAACAGTGGGAATGTACCATGGAGAGCCTTGAACAAAAGCAAAGTGTGTGTACCCAAGTGAGTTTGGAGAACATTTGAAAGGTTGGTGGGTTTTCTTATTTTAGCTTTGTTTCTTGACTTCCCAAATGTGTGAATTTATTTAAATGAATTTGGATCATACCAAAAAGTCATACCATAAGCTTACCATCCAGAGATGGCTCTGCTAACAGTAGATGCAGTTTTTTTCTGGTCTTTTTTTTCCATGCATTAAAAAAGTAGTTAAAAGGCTATTGTGTGTGTACTTTTAGGGCTTGCATTGTTTTATTGACACGATCAAATTTATTTCCCCATATGGATGAAGTAAGCATTTAATACTTAGTCCCCTAAGTAAAAGATAATTTTCTTTTATCTTCAATACTCCCTATTTGGATATGTAGATTCTTTCCAGTTGTTAATACAGCTTTTTGTACGGTAGTTCAGGTGGCTTCCTTAAGATTCATGTCTAGAAGTAGAATTATTGGTTTCAAGAGTGTGACTGTTTTTAAGACACTTCATCTGCGTGCTAACTTTTCCTCCCCAGAAGTCACACCAAGATTTATTCCCACCACCAGGTGTGAAAGTGTTAGTCTTCCCACAGCCTTCCCCATGTATAGTGTCATCATTTCTTAACTGATGGTTATTTTAGTTTGCATCTGGTTACTAGTGAGAGTAACCTACTTTTCATATATTTACATCGATTTGTAGTTTCAATTTTTTTTTCATCACTGTGGCTTTTAAAATTGGTTTGGACTTGTTTCACTTTCACTTTTTTCATTTTTTGAATGTATTCAAAATTATCCATTCCTTTGTGGTTTCTTTCATTGCTGTTAAATAATTTTCTTTCCGATAATTTTCTAGTCCTTTAATTTTTGTTTTGTTTAGCTTATTATTGTTTTAAGTTTATTTTGAGAGACAGAGCGCATGCATGCATGCACACAAGTGGGGGAGAGGTAGAACGAGAGGGAGGGAGGGAGAATCCCAAGCAGGCTCTGCACTGTCAGCCCAGAGTCTGACGCGGGGCTCTAACTCACAAACCATGAGATCATGACTTGAGCCGAAATCCAGAGTTGGATGCTTAGGCAACTGAGACACCCAGGTGCCCCTGTCTTGGCTTATTATTTTTTATAATTTGAAATCTCTTTTAAGTACAGATTGTATAAATCATGAATAGAGTAAACACCTATACACTTACCACTCAGCCAAAGAAACAGAACTTCCTGTGTACCCCCAGCCCTGCCACTCAGGGGC